CTTTTTTCTTTTTGCTTATGTGGTGCTGAGGAATTGAACCCAGGGCCTCAGGCATGCAAGGCAAGCGCTCTACCACTGAGCCACCTTCCCAGCCCTAGCAATTTTTTTTTTTTTTGGTCTTGTCATGGCATGCTACTGAGAAGCATATTTCTGAAGGGGACCCTGGGAGCATTTTGGCAGGTGAATCTGATTCTCCTAACAGGCCCTTCACAGGAAGGGAGTCATGGGAAGAGGTGAGGCCTGAGCTGTGAGAGTAGCTGAGGCACATCACAGGAAAGGTTGGTTCTCAAGCAAATAAAGCTGCCCTGGTCCATTGCCCTCCCCTGATCCATTCTGCCCTCCCTGATCTCAAAGGCTTCATTGAAGATATTCTTTTCTGACTGAAGTGTTTAAGCATTCTAATAAAATATGTCCCTCAAAAAACAATCACATACAAAAAACCTGTCAGACAGGGTAGGAAGCCCCCCTCGGACATGGCTGGCTTTCCCCCCAGCTCCTCAAAAGCAGCCAGGCCTCTCATTGTCATCGTGCAGAGAGGCGGCAGCGTGTGTGTGTGTGTGTGTGTGTGTGTGTGTGTGTGTGTGTGTGTGTGCGTGCGTGTGTGTGTGTGTCTGTGTGTCCTGCTCTAAGGAGATAGCACCTTACCTGCCTGGTCCCACAGTGCCCCACGGGGCCCACATGCTGCTTCCCCAGCTCTAGCCCCCTTTCCAGCCACCAAAGGCCTTTCAGAGCCTGTCATGCCTTCCTCCAGGGCGTGGCCACCCCATGGGGGAGGCCTGCATGTGGGGTGTCCTGAGCATCCTGTCCAGAGAGAGACCCCATCTCCCTGCTTGCCTCACTTTCCCTTCCCTAAGCCACACACAGATCCCTTAGCCAGGCCCCAGCCTCAGTCTCTTCTGAACCCCCCCACCCACCCCCTTGCCTGCCTGTGCACCCTGCTCTGCTCCTGAGCAATCCACCAAGCCTCCGCCCCTGTGCATTTGCCCCTCCCTCTCCTTCCCCCTCCTTCCTCCCCCACCCCCACTTTCTGCACAAACAAGCTCAGTACCGCTGGAAGAATCGTGGGGGTAAACAGAGCTTGGAGAGCGGAGGTGAGGGGCACAGCTGGTCATGCCGAGAGCGAGCTGTGGAAGTCCCCAGGAGAAGCCGCTGGTGACCTGGGGCTCAGGACCCAGGAGCATGGGGCTGGAAGGACCAGAGACAGGTAAATGAGATGCCGGGCGTGGGGATGGAAGTCAGAGGGACGGAAGGAACCTGTAGACACACATGGGAGGAGGCTGAAGCAGGAAATGAATAGGAGAACGTGGGGGGGGGGAGCAAGGGGGGCGGTCTCCCATCTTTAGCAGGAAATCAGAGGCAAGAAATGAAAATCTAAAGACACTAAAAGGATGAGTCAGGGGGTTGGGGCCCAAGCAGGTAGAGGGTCCTCACCCTAGATCCACCACAAGCCAGTGGAGTCACCTGGCCCTAGGGACTCAGTTTCCCGATCTGAATATTGGGGCCACGCAGCTGCAGCAGTGAGGTCCATGAGGAAAGTTGTTCTGGCTTAGGAAATAGAGGAGCTTAGTGGCAGGCCCTCCCAGAAGAGGGGGCAGCTGTTATGTGGAGCTGAGCAGCTGCTGGGAGACCCGTTGGCTCCAACTCACCCAGCACACTCGTTAAAGGTGCAGTTGTTCAAGCCCTACGCCGGACCCTGTGTGTCCGCAATGATGAAGACCCATGCAAGCAATGCAGTCCCCACCAAGATCTTCTTCCCACCGTGTGGGCCAGTGGGGTGGGCTGGGGGTGAGATTCCCACGGCCACAGAGACTGTCCTCAGTTACCCCACAGAGCGGGGTTGAGCACAAAGACTGCAGTCAGGTAGGAGCTGCTGCCGCTGGGCCTGGTTAAGAACAACTTTAACCCAGCCCTTGGATCTTCCTAGTTGACCAGCCACCAGTGACTCTGCTGCCCACACCCAATGGGAGTGGCCCGGGCCAAGAGTTTGCAGGCCCCTGGCTGGAGATCCCGGAGCGGTCACCGTGTGTAGCTGGCATCGCCCCTGTGATCTACTACAGCGTCCTCCTGAGCCTGGGGCTGCCCGGTGAGTGGGAGCTGGAGGCGGCGATCGGAGGCTCGGCCAGACACTGGACCCCTCTCCTCAGGAGACCCCGATCCTCAGTGGTGCCCCTCTCAGAGACTCAGGATCATAGGCTCCAGGTCTCCCTTGGCCTTTACAGGGTATTCTGGCTCACTGGGGGAAGTAAAGTCTAGGGGAATAAATGTGAGAGGCTAGGATTTGAGGTCCTCAAAGCTAAACACAAGGTTAGCCC